TAAAAGTGGAGGTGAGAGGGGCAAAGCAGGTGTTGTGTAGATTTTGTTGTAGGGATTTTATTTTGTTGTTTTTACTCTACTCTACTGTTCTTTTCTCTTTAATAAATTAGTTCTGTTAGAACAACTGTGGTGTTGAATTACAACCTGGGTAAATGTGTTCTTAGATTAAAGGTGAACTGAATTTCTTCTATATAAGTATAGTTGCAAAAATGGTTTTGTCTGAATTCAAATCAGAAGTTTAATCTTAAAGTTGCAAATATACTTTAATGGAAAAGCTTGCCATTACGTATATGTATAGTTCTGTGCCTTTCTTGTAAAAATTAATGGCAGCAGAAACAGAGTATTAACTTAGTGTTATCCACAAACTTACTGAGGATGCAGTCCATCCCCTCATCCAGGTCACTAATGAAGATGTTGAACAAAACTGGCCCTAGAACCGATCCTTGGGGCCCTCCACTTGAAACCGACCACCAACCAGCCATCAAGCCATTTGATCACTACCCGTTGGGCCCGACAATCTAGCCAGTTTTCTATCCACCTTACAGTCCATTTATCCAATCCATATTTCCTTAACTTGCTGGCAAGAATATTATGGGAGACCGTAGCAAAAGCTTTGCTAAAGTCAAAGTATATCACATCCACCAACTTCCCTATGTCCACGGAGCCAGTTACCTCATCTTAGAAGCCAATCCCAGATTGGTCAGGTATGACTTGCTCTTGGTAAATCCATATTGACTATTCCTGATTACTTTCCCCTCTTCCAAGTGCTTCAGAATGGATTCCTTGAGGATCCCCTCCATGATTTTTCTGGGGACTAAGGTAAGGCTGATTGATCTGTAGTCCCGTGGATTGTCCGTCTTCCCTTTTTTTGCCTTTTTCCAGTCAACTGGGATCTTTCCTGATCTCCATGAGTTTTCAAAGATAATGGCCAAAGGCTCTGCATTGGCATTTGCCAACTCCCTCAGTACCCTCAGATGCAATAAATCCGGATCCATAGATTTGTTTGTCTAGCTTTTCTAAATAGTTCTTCACCTGTTCTTTCTCCACTGAGGGCTGCCTACCTCCTTCCCATACTGTGTTGCCTAGTGCAGTAGTTTTGGAGTTGACATTGTCTGAAGACAGAGGCAAAAAAAGCATTGAGTACTTCAGCTTTTCCCACATGATCTGTCACTAGGTTATCTCCCTCATCCAGTAAGGGCCCCACACCCTCCCTGATAACCCTCTTGTTTCTAACATGCCTGTAGAAACCTTTCTTGTTACCCTTCACATCCTTTGCTAGCTGCAATTCCAATTGTACTTTTGCCTTCCTGATTACCCCTGCATTCTCGAGCAATATATTTATACTCCTCCCTAGTCATCTGTCCAAGTTTCCACTTTTCATAAGCTTCCTTTTGTGTTTAAGTTCACCAAAGATTTCTGCAGTAAATCAGTCTAGTCGCCTACCATATTTGCTTTTCTTACTGTGCATTGGGATGGTTTGTTCTTGTGCCTTCGGTAAGGCTTCTTTAAAATACAGCCAGCTCTCCTGGACTCCTTTCCCCTTCATGTTAGCATCTGAGGGGATCCTGCCAGTCAGCTCTTTGAGGGAGTCAGTCTGCTTTTCTGAAGTCCAGGGTGTGTATTTTGCTGCTCTCCTTTCTTCCTTTTGTCAGGATCCTGAAATCTATCATCTCATGATCACTGCTTCCCATGTTACTACCCATATCTACTTCCCCTACTAGTTCTTCCCTGTTTGTGAACAGCAGGTCAAGCTGTGTACGGTGCCAGGTTGATTCCTTCAGCACTGGTACCAGGAAGTTCTCCCCAACATTCTCCAAAAACTTCCCTGCATTATTTTTAATATAGTTTGTTTAATCATTAGAACATTGATTTGTTTAAACAAAATTCTAGTTATGGGCTAGTATTTACCTTACTGTAAGATATTGTAACTTTATGAGTGCCATCTTCTGTAGTGGATTTTCAGTGTGTAGCTAAAATACCACATTCTCTGGGTCATGGATTTCTTTGATTTGGTGTCCTCTTTATTATAAACTTGTAATTTTTCTGTAGTTTTTACTGCAGCAAAAAATAGAAATTTTTGGCTATTGTACTTACAACTGGCAAATACTTGCATCTCCTTTTATAGTTGAGATGAATTTATGGGAGGGAGCTATGCGTTTTGCATTAAATGAATTGCTGATGTCTATTTCTGAGCTAATATTGCATTCTAAAAAATTGTGAAAAGATTTCAAAGATCAAGGAACTTGAAACTGGTACCTACTTGCCAAATGTGGGTTGGTCTTTGTTATGATTAACTTACATTTTGACCCTACCTAACTTCTTCCTTCCTCTCCACCCACCCTACTCCCACTCCATTTTGTTTTCCCTCTTCCGTCCAGGTTAGATGTAATTTCTTCCCTTCTTAATTTTTTTGCATCTTGTTGGTGTCTCTGCATATTCTTTCCTTGTAGAATTCATTCTAGATCAGTGGTCTCCAACCTTTTTACACCCAAAATGACAGAACAAGCCAAGATCTCCTGCCCCTTCCTTACTTGCTCTCCCCAACCCTTATACTGCTGCTTTTTTCCCCAAATTCTTCTGTAGGAAGTTTTTCCAACATTTGGCCTGTCTAGACTGGACCAAATGTCAGAAAAACCTCTTCTTTTGGAAGCCGCCTTATTCCTCGTGGAAATAGGAATATAGGGGTTACCGAAAGAGCACGTTTGCTCTTCCACTTTAAAAAAAAGCGGAAGAACAAATGCATCCCTGGATGCAGAAGAGTTTTTCTGGGGTATCTCCAGAATCCTGAAAAACTCCTGTAGTCTAGCCGCACCCTTGCTGGCTTGAGACAGGATGTGTAGGGATTTGGGTGTAGGAAGGGGTGAGAGGTGCAAGCTCTGGGAGGAAATCTGGATGCAGAAGGAGGTGGAGAAGGGGATGCTGGGTTGGGGAGGGGACTTGGCCGGGTAGTGTTGGGGTCAGATTTATGGTTGGGTACTAAGCAAGCCACAGGCTTGTGGATATGAGGGTGCAGGAATTTGGGTTGGGATATGTGAGGGGCACAGGGCAGGGGGTTCCAGTGTATGATAGGTTCAGGTCTGGGGGAAGGTGTAATGCAGGAGTGTTATGATGCTGTGGGCAGATGGGGGCTTGGCCCCAGTTGGCGGTTTGTTTTTAAATAAAATACTATGTCAAACACAAGTTCCTGCATTGTCTTTATATATGAGAAGGGCAGGGACCCTGTTTTGAGTCAGGGGTCACTGACCCACAGAAAAGTCAGTTAGGGCCACACAAGTGATATGCAAAATTAAAAACCTCTCCAAACCCCCCACAAGCCTCACTAATGTGGCCCCAACTGTGCTGGTGGGAGCAGGGGATGTGTTATTGGGGAAGGATGCCAGGGGGTACCAGGACAGAGTGCTGGGTAGGGTGCCAATGGGTGCTGGGGAAGGGCCTGGGGCAGAGAACAGGATGCTGGTGGGTGGTGGGCAGGGTGCTTGTTGGGGTCTGGGCAGGGGGAGAGGACAGGTACCAGTATCTGGGGATCCTGGAGCTGCAGGCCAAGGCCTAGGAAGTGCATGGGCTGCTCCCCCGAGCCCTAAACAGTAGCACGGTACCTGAAACCCTGGCTCGTTGTGTGTCTGATGCCTTCCTGTGTGGGCTGGGAATGGAGGGAGAGGGAGTCCCGGACCACGCCGGCTCCAGCTGGTGTGCTAGAGACTTTATTCCCCTCTGCCTTCGGCGTGGGGGCAGAAAGAGTCCCAGACCGTGCCAGCCCCAACCTAAAATGCTGGTCCGTCGCGCCCTGGGGAGTTTGTTCCCCTGCTGCCTTCCTGTGCACGGAGAAGGGGTTGGGTGTCTGGGACTGTGCTGGCTCTCGCTGCTCAGGCAGTGGATGCTGCCACGGGGAGGAAAGAAGTAAGGCGCAAGCTTTCTGAGCGGTTGCAGTTGGTGTGGTCTGGGGCTCCTCCCCCAGCAGGAAGCAGGGGAATAAAGTCCCCAGCACTCCGGCTCCAGCAGCTGCTCAGGCAGTGGGAAAGGGGAGTCCCAGACCACGGCAGCCCCAACCGTTTGGGCAGTGCGCGGTGCCTGAGCAGCTGGATCCAGCATGCTGGGGACTTTATTCCCCTGCTGCCTGCCTGCAGGAGAGGGTAGTCCCAGACCACACCAACCGCAACCGCTAGAAAAGCTTGCGCCTTATTCTTCCCCCTCCCCACGGCAGCACGCACTGCCTGAGCAGCCAGAGCCGGCGCAGTCCGGGACACCGAAGCCCTTCCCCACACGCAGGAAGGCAGCAGGGGAACAAAGCCCCCCAGCGCATAATGGACTGGCATTTTAGGTACTGTGCCGGCTGTTCGAGGAGAGGAAGAGCAGCCCACGCACTTCCTGTACCAGGCGCGCGGCTGCAAAACTCAGCCCACCCTGCTGGAAGCCCGTGCTACCTCCGTTGTTCGTGGAGGTAGCATCAGTGCAGCATTCATCTTGGAGGGTGGGGACAGTGAGGGGGAGAGCCCCAAAAGCCTCGCAATCGACTGGTCGGGCCCCCAAGATTGACCAGTAGATCGCGATCAATGGGTTGGTGACCACAGTTCTAGATGATAGCTCTGTGTACTAGCAAAAGAAATTAATTGATCTGATATCAAATTAATACTTTTTTCATAAAATATTTGCCACGTAGTTTTCTTAATTGCTTATTGTTCCAAGGTGTTTGCCCAAAGTTTGTTGTTCGTATGATAGCACCAGTCTTCCTGGTCCTTAGACCCCGAACCTCCCATTAAATGCTAATAGACAAAGGTTGGAAGGTCAAACATTCACCTGGACTGTCACCAGTGATAAAACTCATTTTGACATCTGCTGAATTATGGTACTGCTATGCTATGTAAATTACCCAGACTATTTTATGGATTTTTATAGTTTATTTGTAATTGTCTTAACAGTTTCTAGGACCTGTAGCTCAGAAAAGATGGGGTGGAGGGATGGGGGGGATTATTTTAACTTGAATGAATTTTAGTCTCTAATTTGTAAACTCTCTTGAAAACTAGGGATTTAGGAGATTATGGCATCTGAAGCTCACAATGTTAGAAAATGGAACCTGTTGCATACCAAGGGTTGTCACATTGATCTCAGAAAAAGGATCTCTCATTCCACTAAGAAGAACATGAAGGAGGTAAGTTTATTGTTACTATTTTTTCAGGCAGTTATAAACTAAAACTGTAAATTTGATGCCGTCTCGGGTAGCTGTGTTAGTGTGTATCTTAAAAAAGAAAAAGAAAAAAAATAGGTTAAATGAGTGGTCCTGTAGCACCTTAGAGACTAACAAAAATATAGATATCAACTCCCTTCTTAATTTAGCTGTAACTTTAAATAATTAAATGGGTGCACAGATTTTTTTTATCCCACAATTTTGACACTCGGTGTCAAAAGTCATCTCTAATTTATGCTCTGTGCATGCTGCCTTTGATTTAAAAATAACAAGGATCTCTCAGGATGTGGAAAATGCTTTCACAGACACAGCTTGGTCCAAAACTGTTTGATACTATTTACAAAATAACCTACACTTCCTTCACAATGTATGGAATTTACATCAGCAGCTGAGTGGAAACAACCAGGCTGACCACTGCCCAAGCCAACCATTTGACACTGTTGTATCATCTGCATAGAAACTTGTCTTTTTCCTCCTGCTCAGGCATGGCATAAAAATTCAAAAAAACTAATGCAATCAGATTGCTTCAGCTTTAGAATTCCAGTGCTTTAATGAACAGCACAACATAGAAGCCAGCAAACAGAACTGAAAACAAAAGTTTGAAGTTTAAGTGGGAATTTGTAATGTGAGTTTGGGGTATGGTTTGTGTGTGAAGTTTTTAGGTGCCATGGCTCACCCCAGATAGGAATTTAGAAGGAAGGGAAAGCTCTGATAGCAGCAGTGATAGTGACCCATGGAAGAGATAGTGACCCATGGAAGAGACAATGGAAATGTCTACATGGAAGTTGCAGGAGGTACGTTATTCTGGAGAGGGTATCTGAAGGGTGCTTTATTTGTATGAAATGCCACTTGATGGATGTAAAGGAAGAGTATATTCAAGGTTTGGAAATACAGTTAGAAACTGTGGTTGAGCTTTGAAGGGGATGTGAGCAAATAATGGAGGGAAGGAGAGAGAAGGCTGGAGGGAAACCACAACACTTGCAGATGCATGGTGGACCATAGTACTACGAGGTTAGACTGCTGGATGAAGAAAGTGTACAGTGGAAGTACATGACACTGAGAACAAGGCTTAGGAAAAGACTTGTTACCTAAAGGAGAAATAGAGGTGATGAACAGTTTTGCTGAGCTGGAAAATAAAAGGGAGAACCTTGCAGTAACAGACAGTGAGAGAGTAAGGAAGAAGGAAAGAGTAGCTAATCCTACAAGAAGAGAACTAGAGCTTTCAGCATCAGGAGGATAGAGGATGATTTGCACAAGATGATAAAACAAAAAAAGGACTATAACTGTGGTCCTTGAGTTCAAAAGGACTAACTTTAAAAATATAAGGGAATTAGCTAGGGATGTGGACTGAACTGATGAACCTTAAGGATCTAAATGTGGAGAAGGCTTAGCATTAGTTTCTGCAGCTTTGGTTTAAAATTACAAAAGCTATCTGGATCCTGCATCCCAAGTAAGCAGAAAATATTTACAGGGAAGGGTTGTTCATCAATCTGGAACATTAATCCTCTTTAGAAATCTCTGGATAGAGATTTCAGATACTAAAAGCGGGAGGTCACAAGTTAATTTTTAAATAAGGAACTTAGTCAGAAATGTGATTTTCATTTTAAAGGTTTTTGTAATGAAGATTAGTCATTGTCAAATATTTATATGCTTATTTTTTTAAACGGCTTGCTGAACATATATAGCAAAAACTTGATTTAGTATTAAGGATATTCAAGTTTTTAATCCATATTTATTCAATGTATGCATGGTTGGTACATGAACCTATTCCAGATAGGTGAAGTTGGACTAATAAAGGTTATATTGTATACAACTAGCTAGAACTGGTATGTTTTCTCTTGATGCCTTCATCTTTACCAAGTCCTGGAAACCAATATTAAAAAGGCTTGTGGCTTGTAAATTTGAGACAGGTGATTTTTCTATATTTGCAGTCTCACTACAGGTTGAACTTCTCTTATCTGGCACCTTTGGGACCTGACTGGTGCCAAACTAGAGAATTTGCCAAGCCATGGGAGATCAATATTGTCTAGTAGCATTACCAACTTTTCCACTGCCTACTGGGCTCTTAGAAGACAGATAGGGTAAACGAGATCTAAATAACCACACAGAACACTGACAGCCACGGCTGGTGGCTTTAAATAGACTTTATGGGACTGTGGAAAACTTGGCCACACCCATAATAGGTGGGCATCCAGCTAACTAAGATCATGCCGGACCATGGATGTTGCCAGACCAGAGAGTGTTGGACTAGAGAGGTTCAGCCTATACCAAATTTAGAGAATTTACATTGATCACAATCCTCAACCACACTTGCAGTTTCCCTTTTACCTCTGATGTCACAATCCTATCACTCACCAAAGACGTCACAATCCCATCTCTGAACAAGATGCTCATAGGACAACTGTCGGGGGGGTTGCTACACCTCCTGAAACCTATGCATCTTTCATAGGTACAGGTCAGTTGTGGGAGAGAGGGGAAGAACATTAGTAAAGCAATGAAATGGGAATGTTCTGTTTAAACTGTGATGTTATTTCGTAAGCTTTCTTTTCTTATACTCTTTTTCAATAGGGTAAGAAATCTCCAAAACAGTTGGCTTCTTACACTAACAGGTAAGCTACTATTTAGATTCTTGGGGACAGAATATTACTTTTCATAACTATTGGGATGTTTGTTTAAAAAATAAAAACAAAAAAAGTTTGGGGCCCTTATACTACTGTATAAGGTCCTTCAAAAGCTTATAGGAATAATACTGGACATCAATTCCATTGCTGGTGTGGTTTTTAAGTTCTTTTCTGGGAGCTTTCTGTCCCACCCAAAAGGAAGTCCATCACATTAATTCAGGTAACAAAACTAAAGGGTTGATTTATGCTCTGAAAACCAGATTCATATTTTGGAACTATTCTCATTCCTGGAAAAGGCATGAGCCTTCAGATAAATACAGAGGGATATTAACAGAAATTATTACTATGCCAGTAATCTAATTACATTTGTAAAGTTTCAGAAAGATGACAAATCACTCTTTTTGGGAAAGAGAATTATTTGATTAAAATAATCTGTAGGTTCAAGGCTTAAATTCATTAAAATATCTTGGTGTTTAGTTACTGTGAATTATACATGACTTGATTTTTCATGAATATTCTCTCTATTGTTTGCAGAACAACAGTTGGACAAACTGTGACCAGCTCCCCTTTTCTTTTCAAAATAGTATATTGTAAAAGAAAAGTTCACTCTTATACTTCAAAACCTTGTTACAGAAAAAAGCAGTTCCCTAAAGTCAGGGACCAGGACATGGCAAATAAGGAAAATGAACTGGCTTGTGCAGGTAATCTGCCGACAAAACTACATGAGAGTCATACGCTTTTACTAAATGCCAGTGATTCTGGCTCCTCTCAAACACAAAGTCCCTCATCAAAATACAGTGGATTTTTTTCAGAGGTATGTTAAATTTGCAAAAGTAAGTGTGTGTGTGTGTGTGTGTGTGTGTTTTAATTACAGTTGATGCTGACTACCTCAGTATATTATTTTCATGTTTGGTTAGTTGTAGATTTTGAAAAGACTGTAGTTGATTTCATCATGATTAACTTATGCAATTAACTTAATTAATTTCACTGTTAAATAGTAGAATACCACCTGAAATTTATCAAGTAGTTTGGATGTTTTTCTACATTTTCAAATATATTGATTTCTAATACAACACAATAAAGAGTTTTCTGAGCTCACTTAATTTTTGTAATACACTTAAAGTATTTGTATGAGATGAACAGTGTGCAAACTCTTTATTGTGAAAGTGCAACACGCACATGTTACATAACAAAAAGTTTCTACAGCATTCAAGAACAAAACAATGTCAAACTTTAGAGCTGCACATGTAGAAACGTTTTGTTACGTAACAGCATTCAAGAACAAAACAATGTCAAACTTTAGAGCCTATAACTCCACTCAGTCTTCCCTTTCAGCCTATCACTCAGAGAAACAAGTTTGTTTACATTTATGGGAGATAATGTCTGTTACTTGTTTACACTGTCACCTGAAAATGAAAACAGGTGACACTTTTTTTGTAGCAGGCACGACGTGTCAAATATATTAAATGTTTATATTCCCCATCATGCTTCCATAGTGAGTATTTTTTTTTTTAAACAAGCATCATGTATTAATTTAAATTTGTGACTGAACTCCGTGGAGAATTGTATGTCTCCTATTCTGTTTTTGCCCACGTTCTGCCATATATTTCATGTGATAGCAATCTTGGATGATGACTTGGCACGTGTTCATTAAGGACACTTTCACAGTAGACTTCTCAAAACTCAAAGAGATGTAGCTATTTTTAGAAATCTCACAGCACTTGACCCAGAGTATAAGAATCTGAAGTGCTGTTCAAAATCTGAGAGTGAAGTGTGGAGCATGCTCTCAGAAATCTTAAAAAAGCAATACTCTGATGTGGAAACCACAGAACTGAACCACCAGAAAAAGACTTTAAGCAGCTCCTGTGGAAGTCTGAGTGGGTTGCAAGGTGCTTGACACCTCTGAATGTCAGGTCTCTTACTAAATATCTAACAAAAATAGTCTAGTAGCACCTTAAAGACTAACAAAACATATAGATGCTATCATAAGCTTTAGAAAAAGGACAATAAACTATCTAAACTCCTACATGTGTCAGGATCTCTCATTCCTGATACTTTCAACTCACCTAGTGTGCTGTTCAGGACCAAATTTACACTAACACACACACACCCACCACACACACCCACCACACACACACACACACACACACACACACACACACACACACTTTGCTCCTTCTGAGAGGGAGAACAGCTACTGGAGGTGTCTATCTGCTACCCAAGATACAGAAACCAGGACACCGAATCCCTGACAAGGAGTCTATCTGCTACCCAAGATACAGAAACCAGGAAATCCCGGACGACCCGTCATGTCAAGCATTGGTACACTTACAACAGAATTATCTAGCTATATCAACTCTCTCCTCAGTCCCTATGCTACCAGCACTCCTAGCTACCTTTGAGGCACCACCAACTTCCTGAGGAAACTACAAAACATCATAGTCTACTTGAAAATAGCTTCCTGGCCACAATTGACGTAGAAGCTCTTTACACCAACGTTCCACATGAAGACGGATTACAGGCTATCAGGAACACCATCCCCGATGACAGAACTGCACACTTGGTTACAGAGCTTTGTGACTTTATCTTCACCTACAACTACTTCCAATTTGGAGACCATTTGTGTCTTCAAGTCAGCAGCACAGCCATGAGCACCCGCATGGCACCATAGTATGCCAATGTCTTTATGGCTGACTTTGAACAACATTTCCTCAGCTCTTGCCCCCTAAGAACCTTACTCTACTTTTGTTACATTGATGACATCATCATGTGGACCCACAGGAAAGAAACTCCTGAAGAATTTCAGAGGGATTTTGACAACTTCCATCCCACCATCAACCTCAAGTACACAGAGAAGAATTGGAACTTAACTTCATTCACAAGTTTAATTCTTATGCTCATGGTCTGAACCAGGGATATAGGATGGCTTGCACACTATCTTCCACCTTTTAATGACTTGAACCAACCAACCAACCAATGGAGGTGCTAATGGTTATTGGACCTGCAAATAGTTTTCTTCCTCTCTGCCCCTTTTTCCTTTTCCTCCCTCTCCCTTCCCTTATTTATTCTTGGACCTGGACTACTTATGCTCCGATCATCTGAAGAAATGGGGTTTGCCCACAAAAGCTCACGAAACTATCTACATGTTTAGTAGCACCTTAAAGACTAGCAAGACTATACTTAGTTTTTTTAAGTTTTTCCTGTAACAGACTAATTTGTCTACCCCTCTGAAGCTTTTAATTATCTAACGTTAAGCTCCATTTGAGCCAGAGTAATAGCAATAGTCTATTTGTATTGCATATATTTTATTAAAAAGACACTTATGAGCTGCTACTGTCTAAAAATACTTCAGTGTTTTGGACCTCTCGAGATTTGAAGACTACTTAATTAAAAAAATACTTTAGTGTTTTGGACCTCTCGAGATTTGAAGACTACTTAATCAATTTTCATGTTTTACTAAAATTTAAAATTCCTTCTATCCAAATTGGATGCGTCACCATTTGGCTAGAAAAATTAAATGCCATTGTAGTAGCCTTTATTGTATTGAAGCAATTTATTATGCAATAACTTTTTTTTTTTAAATCCTTTTGTTAAGGTTTCGTTAATCTTTTTGTTTTGTAAATACAGGTTTCTCAGGATCATGATACTATGGCACAAGTTCTTTTCAGTAGAAATCTGAGACTGAATGTAGCTTTAACCTTCTGGAGAAGGAGAAGTATAAGTGAACTCATAGCCTATTTAGTAAGGTAAACTGAGTATTCAATTTTTTAAGTTTTTATTTTAAATTTCTCTCTAACATGGTAGGCATCCCAACCCTGCTGCAGCACTGTAAACTTTCCTTAACTTGAAACAACTTGTAATTTAGCTACAATTCCTGATGTAGTGTTTTTAATTACAGGCAGTCCCCGGATTACGTACAAGATAAGTTTGTTCTTAAGTTGAATCTGTATGTAAGTCGGAACTGGCGTCCAGATTCAGCCACTGCTGAAACTGACCGCCAGTTCTGACTTAC